GTGAAGCTTCTTAAATGCTCCTTAATCTGCCTCTCTGTGTGTCGGGCCTGGACCTGAATGTGTTCTGCTGTTTGATCAAACTTCACTTTAACTTCTTTAAAAACATTTAACTTCTTCTTTACCGCCTCCAGAGTTTCCTGAAGTTTCTTCTTGTGTTGTCCAGCAGCTTCATCGATGGGTCTGAATCTGTGTCAGAGTGTTTTTCTGAATCTCTGCAGACGACACACACCGGCTCCTGATGGTCCAGACAGAAGAGTTTGAGTTTCTCAGAGTGCAGACTGCAGAGATCCTCTGAAGCTCTCTGATCTCTCTCCTGCACAAAACTCTCACACAGGTTCTTTAAAGTAAAGTTAGGAGGTAAGAAATCATTTGACTGTCTCCTCTTACAAACCGGACACTCCTTGTTCTCCTTCTCCTTCCAAGCAGTCTTCACACACTCTCTACAGAAGCTGTGACAGCAGGACAGGATGACTGGATCTTTAAAGATGTCGAGGCAGACCGGACAGCTCAGATCTTTCCTCTAACTTGGACGCCATTTTATCTCAAGCTGAAGACGAGGAGACGAACAGCTGGGAGTCACTCCCTGTCACTCAAAGTTCCTTTAATCTGTATTCTTTGTTCTTTTTTTTTTACCTCTTATCGGTTTGTGGATTCAGTTTCAGGTAAAAGTCCAGATTAGTGAGTTACGTTGACACCGAGGCTTTGAAGCGTGTGTCGAGTAGGAGGCGCATTTCTTTCTTTCCTCACTTCGAGTCTACGTCATTGATCTGTTTGTGTTCTGGGAAGAGGAAGTGAAACCCACTTGTCATGTCTCCTCGTGAGTTTGCGTTAGTTGGTTGTTGGGAGTTGTAGTTTTGGTTCTCTTTTTTTGGAGAAATGGAGCCTGTGAGAAAGAGGAAAACGTCTCCTGTTCGGGAGCATTTTGAGTTATAATCTCCCAATAAAGTAAACGTTAAAACCAGGCGCGGAGCCTGTGGGTCATTGCAGAGGGGGCGGGGACCAATAGTGGGCCCATAAACTGTCTATAGGCTATATAGCATATGCTGTAGTCTATATAGTAATATAGTATATCATTTATGGTATAATATCGGCTGTATGGAGATACAAGACGGGGCGGGACGAAGAGAAATGCCGCTGCAGATTACAAAGGGTGTTATTACAGTGACAGGGACTTATCAGTGAGTGACCTGCTGATGTTTAAACAGAACAAGTGCTGATATGTCTGTGCGCATATTCCACCGATTAAACAAGTAAAGCAGACTTCATTAACCGGACGGGAAACCAAAGATAGAAGGCAACTACAGTTTAACATTCAGGGAAGTTGGACGCTCACCTATGGAGGACTAAAAGTGCCAAAATGAAATATATAAATATATAATTAATTAAATCATTAAATGTGTCATCAATTATTTAATATTGGAAATAAATCAACAAATATGTAAATAAATATATAATTATTTAATTAATTAAATGCATGTGTTATTAAATAATTAAATAATTATTTAAATGTGTCATTAATTATTTAAAATTGGTAATAATTGAATAAATAAATAATTTATGAAACACATCATTAATTAATGAAATGTTTAATTAATTATTTAAAATGTTAATTCATTTAATTATTTTACTATTTATTTAATTATTTCACTATTTACTTTATCATTTCATGGTCCCTACACCAGCAGTGCATCATGAAATCATTTCATCTGTCACTGCTGCTCGTCAAAGTTTCTAACATCTGATTGGTTACTCAGCAAAGCAAGTCATGACAGATCGATCCCAGATAATGGATTGAAGCAGTGAATGCACTCCGATACGTTAGGTGACAGTGTTCATCCGTATATTCGTTTCGGTACGCTCTTCATTTGTCGCCGAAAAAATAGTTGCTGATGATACAAGTGAAGACGGATCAATCAGCTCACCATTGGTGCAAAGTGTTAGTGCAGGATGTCCAAAAGCTCTCCGGAGCACAGGTACAGCAGATACCTGTCGCTACACCACGTACACCTGTTCAAGGTAGGTAAGGATAGCCAGATGTGCTTCTAAACGAAGCTAGCTAGTCGGCAGAATGGTGTTAGCATGTCAGCAGCCCTGAAGTTGGACTTTTATCACTTCTTTCTTTTTAGTTGTTGTTTGCTTTCTTTATTACATTTATCAGGACTTAAGGATGTTTTAGCTGAGTGGCGATCATGGGAGCTGTAACATTTTCTCTGTGTTGCAGCCGAAGTAGCAAGGCTGTTTGCTCCATACAACAACAACAACAACAACAACAACAACAACAACAACAAGGCTGATAAAGTTCCAAGCATTCAGCTTAAAGCAGACCTTCTTGCTTCAGGACTTGGAGAACAAAGGTGATCTTTTCAGGTGCGTCTGAAACAAGAACTTTGACAAAGCACTGAGTCCTGACATTAGTAGGAGTTGTATTTTTAATTTCATTTTATCGCCATTTGTGTTCACCTATTTTACATATTAGACTCAAACTTTAATGACGTGATTTTCTTGCTGTGTATTTGTTATCACAGCTTAGCTTTTGGTATTTGAGTTAATGTGCATTATGTATATTTACAGGAAATGACAACGATCCCATGGTTGTAACAAACAAACTGATGGAGGTGTTTCCAAAGCTGCAAGAAGGGGGAGGCTTTGAGTTTCTAAAAATTGCAGGATCTACTCGCAGTCGAAATCTTGGACTTCTTCAATGTCCCAGCACAGGATACACCCTTACCTATCTAAAAGATCCATCTCCAACAATTGGACAGGCTACAATTGACATACGCCCACTTCAACAGGACCTACCCATTGATTCAGTATGGAAATTTACACTGTCACCATTTGATACATAGTTCAAATAAATTGCACTGTGGAGTTTTAATCAATACTTAACAGATTTGTTGTTCTTAGGAAAGCTCGGGACATGCCTCTGGTCCAGAAGGAGGTTCCCTTCTCTGAAATGAAACTGCACCGAGCTAACTGGGATGGCTATGCACTTGTTAAAGATATATAAGAATTACATATTCATTTTTCAATAAGAAATGTCTTTTTAGTTTTTGTGCACACAGATGAGAGGAAATGACTATAACATTTTCTGAACTTCAAGGACCCCCATGCAGGAAACACATAGAGAAGGAGAGGGAGACCGTGGTGAGGAGAATGATAGAGAGCCACCCACTGACAGGGACAGCGTTCCAGTGAGGCCTGAAACATCTGTAGAGAGTGAAGTAGAACCAGTAGTGATTGAAAGTGAGAAGATTGATCTTAAAGAACTTGACAATGCTTTGTGTCATCACAGTAGGAATGCTATAATATTGTGCATGATTAGAACTCAGTCAATAGAAGAATAACACCTTTTAACCATAATAAATAACGACTAGAAGACATGCCATTATCACTGCTGTTTTATAGAACCTTAGAAACACTTCCTCATACAGTTCACAGACTCCACATCTAAGTGAAGCTTGGTTGACTTCAAACAGCAAATAAGCATCATTCTGATGAAAGTCAAGTAGAAATGGACTTTCCTAGTATCTATTAAAAGGCTGTTGGATTCTGTCACATTTTTCAGGTGTTCCTCCTTTTCTGTTGATTGGGAGTTTATCTGCATTTAACATGCAAAGTAGTTACATTTATTTTTCTTCTTGTCTAGACTGGAAGATTATTAAAGAACCAACTCTGGCTGCCCAAGTTTTCAAAGATAATCTACTAAGTGAACATGCAACCGGGAAGCCTCTTAAACTGAAACTGGATGTAAGGGAGCGTGAGGAGGACAGGGAACGGGCACTTCTCTCATTCTATAAACAGCAACAGGAATGGGCATGTCCACTTCATTGTACCCTTGATGGTTAGTAGAATAGAGTTCATAATATAAATATATCCTGTTACATTAATATCAATTCTATGTCTTATATGGAATGGTATTAGTGGTTTACTGGTCCCATCAGGTCATTTGGCTGATATTAATCATTATATGATAATCTGCATTGGCTGTTCATGCTGTCTGCATAACAGTTCATGTGTTTGTCCTTCCTTCCTAAAACTTGTCAAGCACCTATAGCCTTGTTACAGCTTGTTTCTAGTGTGTTATTAACAGTATACAGTATTCTTTAAAAAAAAAAAAGTTTTATAGGTGATGCTGCTGTTGGACAGGGAGTGATGCGGTACTTTCTGACAACAATAATATCCAAACTCCAGTTTGGATTCAGAATGAATCTTGGTAAATGTGCTACTATTCAGGTTAATGTCATGCATTTTAAAAGTTAATTGTTTGATTTGAAGCCCTGCTCTGTTGGTACTTACAGGAGGAGTGGGCCAAACTCTGCTATTTGAAGGTGAGCCTGACCATCTCGTTCCAGCTGCATCAGAGGTGCTTATTGAGAGCAACCTCTTCCGGGTTGCAGGAAGGATGATAGCCCACTCCTTTTTGCATGATGGCCCCCATGTCACCGGATTAAGTCCTGCTGTTATTCATGTACTGTTCAATGGGGACCCTGAAATGGCAACAATTGTTGTCGAGGACTGTCCTGATCTGCACATCAGGAGTATTATAACAATGGTATGTAACACACAAACAAAAAAACCTTTGCCTTGCAAAATTCCTGGACAGGTGTAATACCTTTTATGATCCAAACTGTAGCTTGAACTTGAAGAACTTACTCAGGAACAGAAGGACACAGTGTCAGATCTTTCCCTGTCTTGGGATCTCCCAGCAGTCACTAAAACGAATCAGAGGTGGCTACATAACAAACTTCTAGTACACGCGGTGAGTTTCTCCTGCTGATTTGGTGAATTCTCCTTCTGAAATTGAACTCATCCCCCATTTATCCATCAATTATGTTTCAAGCTAAGCAATTCTATCACGTCTGCATTTCTTTTGCACATCTGTATTTCAATCACAAACTAATTGGAACTGCAGGCAGGATTATTACAGAACCTAAACACTCTTTAACTTGTAATCTAGGCAGGGAGTGGTTTGGTGTTGCAATATGAAAGGATATAATTGGGGAAAAATACATCTTAACCCTGTAAAGCCTGACACATGAAAAAATAACCAGGAAATTCTATTCTTTTGGAATTGAGATGTTTATTAAACCCTTAAACAAAATCCCCAAAATGTTTTTCTCATATCATGTTGTTTATGATATTTTGTTTGTAGCACATTTGATACATCGGGCGTTTTTGGCAATTTTTTGCACACATTTCAGGAAGCTTTTCTCGTTGTTTTTTTTAACATAACACTTTTTACAGCCTTTTTATTTCATTTTGTGGTAGGCACAAAAACAGTTTCTGTCCTTGTTCAGGCAAAGATGCACCTTACACTTCTCACAGTAGACATGTGAGAAGTGATTGCATCTCTGTCGGGTTTCCCATGTTGGAAAATGATCAATGCCATCCCTTCTCACATCAAGAGGCACACTGCAGCTTGGTCTTTTACGGGGTGGTGTTGGAGTCTCTTCTGGAGAGGATAGTGGTCTGCCACACCTGATTTTGGCCTTTCCTGCCAACCAAAGCCTGAAACCTTCACAGAGGCACGGGTTTCTTCTTGGGGTTTAGCTTCTTCTGGTCTCTTCTGTAGAGGTTCCACGCATTGATGACTGCCACTGTAACAGTGTGCCACCAGATGTACATGTACCATCTTCGGGATCTGAAGCTGAACTTGTAAAGTGCAGACAGCATATCAAGGAGATCAACACCTCCCATGAACTTGTTATATGTTTCAACAATGGCTGGTCTGGGAACCGTTATGTGAGTTTTGGATTTGCGATCCCAGCGTTTCACATTTCCCACAGGTTCAGTGCCAACAAAAGAGGAAATCAGGTTCACTGCTTTGTTGTCGTACCATCTTACAACGATGTTGTTTTCCTGGTTCACTCTGAAGTCCATTGACCCTCTTCCATTTTCTTCAATTCTTTTTCATCCATCATGGTGCAGTGTTTCATCCTGTTCATCCGGATCGTGCCAACGTAGTGGATTCCTCTTTCTTTTAGGTGTTGCACCAGGGGAACTGATGTGAAGTAGTTGTCTGCAAAGACCTTGTGATTTTTTCCTGCTGGAAGTGTTGATGTCATTTTCAGCACAACTTCTCCTGTAACACCTACTTCAGACTTTTCTCTGTCTGGATTTTCTGCACCTTGACAAATATCAAAGTCATAAAGAAAGCCACTTTGTCCAGCACGTCCCCACATTTTGAAACCCCATTTGTGAGGTTTTGCAGGCATGTAGACACGTAGATGAGATTTTCCCTTAAATGGCACCATGATTTCATCAACTGCATGGCTTTCTTCAGGAGGTATGTAGAGAAACTGTTCTCGCAGTTTTTGTAACCATGGCCTGAGCTTCCACAGTTTATCTTTCTTTGCATCATCAGACACACTGAGGTTGTCCTGAAAGTGAATCACTGTCAGCAATTTCAGAAACCGATCTCGAGACATCACATGACAAACTGCAGGGAGCCTTGTCTCCATCTCCCAATAGGCTCTCACAGAGGACATCTGTACTAACCCCATATGAATGTACATGCCTAGAACCTGCTCTATTTCCTTGGCAGTTGTGTTTACTGACTTGCCCTCTTTTTGTACACTGTACAGGTTTGTTTGTTCTGCAGTTTCCTCTAGCATTTCATCAGTGACAAACTGTTTGAAATACATGTATGGTGTCCAGTCACACCTGTCTTCTGTGCCTTCCTCAACACTTGCAATGAAATTGATAGATGGAGCTTGATAATTTATTTTTCTCCATCTGTATTCTTTCCTTTGTGCATTGGCCTTCACTGACTCCTTTCTGATTGTGTCCTGTGTTGTTGTTGGGATCTCAACGTCTGTGCTTGTCTGGGCTACACTTTCCTCTTGATAGTCTTCCTCATCACTGCTATCTGAACTTCCATCATCATGCATGGCCTGAGGAGTCCATTCTTCCTCATCCTCCTCATCATCTTCCCCTAACTGCTCTATGTCACTTGAATTGCCATCCATTATCATGTTGATGACATTTTCAATGTACGTTTGTTTTCTCACTTCTTCCTCTATTCTTTTTGACATCTAAAAATACACACATAACAAATTGGTCAATATAGCGTAGCGATTATGATTTCAGAGGAATTGTTATTGTGAAAATACCCAAAATGTATTTTAAAATGGCATTTCAGTCATTAATTAGATTTATTAAATCATTAAAATAGTGTGTGTTTGTATATTGGTAGGCATGATGTAGATTACATTACAAAAATTTAGAATGACCGTTCAAGGATAAAGCACCTTATATACCTGCAGTATCAAATGTGATACACACATTTTTAACACGATTTAACTGTAATATGAAGAATGAATTATTAAGTAATGATGCATTGTTTTAATACAGAATATACTCCTATTAAAGAATGAGTAACAATATAAATGTTATTCTTACTGTAACTTCTTGAAAATTAGCAAAGATTTTCCTGCTGAAAGTGTGTGGATGCTAGCATGATGGTGGCCATTTTTTTAAAAGGTCAAAAAAAGCCCTTCCACTGCCTGCAGTAGAGTGCAAATCCTCTAGGGGGCAGAATACATGTATCAGGTCATATACAACAGGTTTTAAAGGAAAGTTTTGATCATGTTGATAAGACAGAGGTCTCAGAAACTTGCGTAGCAAATATGATACAAATGGTTTTATAGGGTTGTTAAGCACTGCATTAGAGTTTTATAAACACTTTCTACTGTGCTGACTTTTGTAGAATTTTAATATTTGGTCAGTAATATGGGTTTGGCCTTTCTTGTAGGTCATCGGGAGGACCATGCGCCAAATTAAACAGTTGAGAAAGGGATTGAAAGATGTGATGCTATGGCCCCTGCTGACATCAAGGCCAGATGTTGTCCCACTTCTTTTTCTGAAAATGGCAGGAATGCAGTTTGTACCCCAGGTGATTTAGTACATCCAACTTATTAACAATACTTAAAATATTAATAAATGTGTGTGCAAATCTTATTGTCTAATTTACTGAGCTGGATATTTTCTCAATTACCAAGACTGTAATCTATATTCCTTTTCATCAGTGCTGAATTATAAATTATCCTAGACACCAAAATACTTTTCAAACTTTTTTTTTCCAGATGTTCCTAGACAAAATCACATGGCCTGTGGAGGACAGTGATGATGAAGAACTTGACATTGAGTGCAAGTGCCGCATCACTGGTTTTCTACGGATGTTCATTGAAACAGGTATAGCTATCTTATTTTGCAATTTATTTTCATGTTTACCAATGTCTCTATGTCCCATAAACATCTCACTTAACACTGTAGAATATATGAAATGCATAGGGATTTGAACAGTTACAGTGCACTGTGTTCTTAATCCACTTTATGACCTTTTAGCTTCATCAGATACTCTGGCTCAGTTGCTGAAGTTCTGGGTCGGCTGGGAAATGCTCCCTCCAGAACTCAAAGTGGAGTTTTCCGGGGGAACCTTCCCATCATCCTCCACATGCTTTGAAACACTGAAGCTGCCAGCTCATTACAACACCTACAAAGACTTTGAGGAAGCACTTGTTGCTGCCATAGACAGTGCACACACTGGATTTGCTCTTGTTTAAGTATTTTCAGGCAATGATGTTGCTGTGCTTTTATTCAGTAGAAAAAGGTCAATTTGAGTGAAGTGAGTTCAGTGTTTTTCTAACATTTCAAATACAGTGCAGTATTTTCTTTCCCTGAAAATGACACTGCTTTGTTGTTGCTCTTCTGTCAACTGTTTGATACTTCAGTGTGCATCACCTTGCTGTCCTTGCCTGTTGTCATTGGCTACATGAGGTTGTTGAAATATCTCTTGATGCTAGAAAAATTGGTTTTATTTGCATTAAAACAGCATATTATATTTCAGATTTTTATTGACAAATCAAGTTAACTAATTCATGAGTGACATTTGCACAATAAATAAAATAAAAGGCCTGCTTAAGATATCAGTCTCCAATGATTCTTGACAAAACTTGCACTGTCTCCAAATATGATCCAATTGCATCATTTAAAGAAACTCCTGAAACTGGCAAAATGGCAACCTCTTCATCTGAGAGCTCACGGGCCATCTGAATCTCAGGAACTGACACAGTGTCTCCATGCTGATTGTGAGGCCCATTCCAGTCGATCCCATAGTCTTCATAAACCTGAACAGAGGATAACCTTGATTGACATATTGTTTAAACTACTATGACATGTCATCACACAAGATTCATGAGATTGATCATTGGTCCTTATGTTGGTGACAAATTAAGTTTTAGGCACTTTGCTGCTCAGATGTTGTTCTGTCAGAGCTCAGGAGACAGAAGAGATTCTCATGTTTCATTCAAAAACAAGAACAAAGTGATAACAGAAACCCTTTTATTCAAATATAGTGGGTCCAATTATCATCTGTCTGAAATGTTTCTTCTAAGAAATTTGAGGAAAAATAAATCTGCTAAACATCAGTGACAAACACCTGTATCTCCTGACCAACAAAATATGAATATATTTTCAAAAGGTTTCAATAATAGTGTAAAACTACTATCTTTTTTTTAACCTCTGCAGGATCCTCCATGGGGCCTTGCTCTCTGTATCTTCTCCAGAGTTCATTAGGTGATTGATTCCTTTCAGTTCTAAGTCCATGAAAGTTCCAAGCATCTCTGAAGGAGCTGAGGGTTCTCTGAATTTGGGGAAGGAAGATCCGGTGCAGGGCATAAAGATGGACTTGGTTGTCTGGATTGAGTGTTCCCTGATCTTCCAATGAAGTGAAGATCTGATAGAAGAGGTCTAGGGCATGCTCATAAACATCTCTCCACATCCTCTCTATTCTGCAATTAGAATGCAATTGACAAATTGTTAATTAATATATAATCTCAAGCTTTAAAATACATTGAGCTGCTATGGTTTGTACAAGCAGTGGTGGACAGTTTTTTTGGAAACTTGTGACTTTCACTCCACTACAAGATAAATATTGTGCTTTCGACTCCACTACATTTCTAGGAAGCTCGTCGTTACTGGTTCCTTTTAGGCTCAGCATAGCTTTGTAGTCAGCTGTTGGTGTTTTTCTTTTCTAAAATGCAATTGGCCTCACGCTGTGCTCCTCATAGAAGGGAACCAATCACAGTCACCGCTCACACATGGGATGGATTTGGAAATACGTCATCAACGCTCAGTGTAGCAAGCTCTCCCGCCTTCATTCAAACAAAACTCGGCAATGGAGATGGCAGGAGAAGCTGAGGAAAGAGACTAAATGTGCACCATCTTTTAGGGATTTCCATCACTTTCCACAGACATGGAAAAATGCAGGGCGGTTTACAGATTTTATTAAGGCAAGGGTTATGTTGCCATGTAGCCAAGTGGTTCAACTGGATGATGAGTTCATGAAAGCAGAGTTGCAGTTTGTTCGCAGTAATGGACTGAACAGTAAACTTGCAACTCCCCCACAGTGAATGTACGGGGAGAAAAAAAAGGCCCTCCTGTTTTTTTTGGGTGGGGATGTTTAAATAAAAAAATTAAATGACAATAGCTGTCCTTATTGTTTTTGATTGCATTTTTACGCTGAAGTTTTTACAGGTGTTTCTATAGACTTGTAAGTCAATACATCATTAGGTGGTTTCAGAGAGTTACAAGGTTCTGTGTAAGCACTGAGAAAACAATACAGCAATGCACTGATATTAGAAAATGTACTTTGTACTTTTGAATACTCAAGTATTTTTAAAAGTAAGTACTTTAGTACTTTAACTTGACTAAAATCTTGACCGAGCAACTTTTACTTGTAGTTGAGTAAGATTTGACCACGAGTATCAATACTTTGACTCAAGTACTGGAGTTGAGTACTTTGTCCACCACTGTGTACAAGTAGTCACCAAACAGATATATTTGACCTACCGCTGATTGTGTACACTTCTGCCTGTGATGTGAGAGTTCCTGTTGGTACCTCTGCTCCTGATCATGAATTCTGCTACGTCTGAATTCTCTCTTCCTTTATCAGACCGTACCCTTGACGGCAGCCCGTACTGCTGAACGGCATTGATAAAGCTCTGTAGGACAGTGCTAGCCCTGTTATTGCCAGCCACATTCAGGTAGACCACCAGTCGACTGAATCCGTCCACCCCACCATGGACAACAAATCTCCACCTGTCAGACAGTTTTGAACACAAAAAAGCTTTAATGTGATCATTTCTTTGGACATCTATAGAAAGTTGCATTGTTTATCAACTAATATCACTGATACCTTATAAGCTTGTGGTGACCATCTATGTGCCATAAAGAGTTTGGGCCAGGAACAGAATACTGCCGTCGTCTTGTTACATGCAGCCGTAGACGTCTCATGTACACTCCCTCAGCATCCACTCTGTGCAAAGACTCTCAGTCTTGAGACTTTAGAGCAGAAAATAATCATACACTCATTTGCTATTTATTTAAAAAAACACTTAAAAATCTAACTGAGAAATACTGGAAAAAAAATACCAGAGTTTCAAATATTTAGAAGTATTTTGATAGTGTTAGGGTGTTAATAAATAAATAATAATAAATGGCAACACCATGGATCATCAGCAACATTTAGCTCCTGGATAAAAAAAATAAAAATTCAGGTCATCAAAATGTTCACGCCTTGGATACCACATGTTTTAAAACGACACAACCTCGATTAACTTCATGTTTGATATCGAATGTTTGAATTTGTAAATCCAGTACAAAACCACCACAGTCTCAAAAATGACCAGAGTTCACCTTATCTATCATCAACATGATATATAAAACTTCATAATAACAGGATACAAATCTGGATTTACCCTGGAAATGAGTTTCAGATATATCAGCCGCTACGTTGCAAAAGAATACACACATACATGAGCCTTACCTTAACAATATATATTCTCATTGACCTTGCGCCTAGTTCATGGTTATTTATATTTATTCATATTGGATCATACTCACTTGGAACACGCACACCTCTAGCATTCAAATGTCCACGCATTAGCTTGTAGCCGGTGTTTGGACACTTCTGTGGACTTCGCTTACAATACGGTCCAACTCCTCATCAGCAACAGGTGTAGAGATCTGTCTTTCTGAGCAGACCAACAAACTACATGTTACATTTCACTTAACACCTTTTAAAATGAAGGACATCGCCAGTACACTACTAATAATCTTAATAAAATCTGTGAATTTAACTGTGAATACCTTAGGCCACGATGTTTCATGTGTCTTCTGATTGTCCTCTTTGAAACTCCAAACCTCTCAGTAATTTCACTCGCTGGTCGCCCACGATGGTGGTCGGACACGATGCTGTAGAACGGCAGTGGGGATGTCAAAAGCCGGGCGCCCTGCTCCGGGTGTGTGCTGCGGCCCCGTACCGGAGAAGCGCTGGAGAACTTCTTCTAAGTTTGTGAACACTCTTCGGTCAATATCTTGGTCAGAGAGAGCGGAAATAACTCCAAGAACTTCAAAAATTGAGATCCGTCTCCGTTACATTCACTGCGACTTGATGACGATCAAATACCGCTGAATTAACTTAGACCCGATGTCACAGGTAAATGTTTTTGTCCCATGTAAAATAAGGACAATCGAAATGAAGCACTTGTCAGCTTATTTCACTACACCGTAGCGACGTTTACCTCCAGATGGGCCGTTGTTTACTTCCGCATTCCAGGAGCGGAAACTGGAAACCAGTTTAACCGGAGCCAAGCATACCGCAAAATAACCGACAACTGGCAGTCATACTACATACTACTGTTGAACGTAGTCTGCAGTATATACTGCATACTGATTTAGAAAGTATGTAGTACGCGGTCTTGAAAACGGCCGTGATGTTCATCAGGTCGCTGACCTTCAATCATTAACCCCGTGTTCTCCAGAGCTCGTTGGATGTCTGAATCTAACTCCTAACTCCTCCATGATTATTCATCATATGCGGATTATCATTTTGTATTACATTAGCGATACTCTTTCAACATTTATATCAAAATTGTGATATATGTGTGACATAATAAAAAATGAAAACAGCTACATGATTGTAATGCTAAAACACACAGTCAAGTTTTCATTATTATTTATATAACTATAATATCATTTACTCTTACTGGTTGTCTCAGGTGAGTCAGGTGAGGGGGGGAGATTTATCACTACAGCTTATCAGGTCCAAGTTTCATAAAATAACTTTGAGATCATTAGTGACTCACCAACACTGATATCTTCTGGACAGATTCCATAATTTACAAACCTGCCGTTTCCCATCGCGCTCATGGCGCCTAATTCAAATTCCAGTCAACATCAGGGAAGCCTGTGGGCGACAACTGCACCGAAAATAGGTGACGGAGGGAAACCGGCGTCCAGAGAAAAGCTGTTACCAAAAAGAGCTCGTGGACAGATATGTTATGTCCATCCATCCATTATCTTTACCGCTTTTCCCGTCCAAAGGTTGCAGGCAGGCTGGAGCGGCTACCAGCTGTCATTGGGCGAGAGGCGGGGTTACACCGTAGAGTTTAAAACGGGTAAAACTGGTTCAGATAGAAGTGATTGTACCCGACCTAAAAAGCCTCTGCATGTTTCTAATAAGCTCCACGAGCAGAAACGTGCTCAAACTAGGATCAATATTGGAGATGCTTTTGAAAAATGGAGAGAGGTTAGAACACAGAAAGGTTTACAGACCCATGCAGAGCTGGATAAACACTGAAGCTTCAGAGTCCACCACATGGTGACCTGAGTGAGCATCATCTCTAGAGAGGAGGGGGGGAGACAGGTCTCTGAAAAAGACTGAAGGTCAAAACAAATGTAACAATATATAACCTCTAGAGGGAGCACCACATAATCAGAAATAGAGACCATCTGTCTGCATGTTGCAGACGCATCATAGTGTCGATGGTTGTGGACTTGATGTATAAACTCTTCTTTTAAACGTTCCTCCGTTGTTGTAGCAGCTCTTTGGTGTCTCTGATGTCGTCTCATCTGGTCTCATCACCACACAGCTCTACACTGCCCCTAGTGGTTATATGCATATTGCATCTTGAGGACGTGTGGCGTTATTTCTGAGGACGTGCACAACCAACGCTCCAAACCACCGCAGGATACGCAAGGCTGATGTCATGCGTTCCCGTATGCATAGTTAAAAGCAGTGTTTCTCAAGTGGTGGGTCGGGACCCAGAGGTGGGTCGCTGAGCCATTTTCAGTGGGTCACGAATGTGTGCCTGGAAAGAAAACTTGTGTAAAAAAAGTCTGAGAAGCACTTTTTAAAAATGTTTGTTTTGTTCAGTTTCTTGCTTGTGTCACATGTTTTGTACTGACTGAGGTCCAAACTGAACCATTTTTCAGTAAATGAATCTGATTGGTCAAAAAATATCCAAAATTTGGGTCGCGATTTTTCCTGGAGGAGTTGGTGGTGGGTCCCGAGACTAGACCAGTTGAGAACCAGTGGTTAAAAGCACGTTTACTCAGAGCTTTAAAGTCACAGAACAGGACAAACCTTTGCTTCATCCACTTTGCAGGAAGGTTAGAGTTATTGAACAAAAACTGCAAAGCCGTGCAGAATGCATGACGATCGCTTGATTTAGCATGAATAGTTTCTCCTGCAGTGACAGATACAGAGGTGTGTGTGTGTGTGTGTGTGTGTAATTCCTGTGTATGCTTGCCTGTGTATATTTTTTTTATTTTTATTTTTTTATTTTTTTTAGGACTCATTCCTGTGGCGCTCTATAGGTGTTTAGTGAGAAAAATGACTTTTAAAGTCGGGGTGAAATATGTGTTTTGTGTGTGAGTGTGAAAACCCTGAAGATTATAGAAACAGCATCACAAAGCAAACTCAAAATCTGTCTCATTTATGTTTTATATTTCATGTAGAGATCCACTGTGGCACTTCTCTGCACATCCTGTAGAGCAGTGGTGTCCAAACTTTTTTTCTTGCGGGCCAAAATTGTCGTGTTAGAATCGCTCGCGGGCCACAGGTTTTGTTTTTTAAAATATAGTTTTAAAAATAGTAAGGCTTTGTAGATCAGAATCAAAAGGCTCGCTAAAGAAACCCTTTAATAAAAGGAAATCAAATATTTTGATTTCTTCGTTCTACTTTATTTGTTTTTTTCTCAGAATCAAGTCTGTAACGTGGTTCATGTTTTTGGAAAAGCTTTCTGCATTTAGCTCAGGTCATTAAATGGTTAAACAACAGTCCGCTTGTTTGCAAAAACTTTACATAAGTTTTTTTTCATAGTTTACAAAAAAATGTGGAAAATAGTAAAAGATGTAGATTTAAAAAAAACAACAACATACACGTTACTGAACATTTTCTATTTTAGGAATATTGTTCAGCGCTTGTTAACATGAAAAAGAAAAATAAGAAATGTGCCGATCTTAATCAAAATCTTCTGATTCTTCATTTGAAGTCACGAGCCGCAAAAATCCCTTCAAGGGCCGCAAATGGCCCTCGGACCGCACTTTGGACACCCCTGCTGTAGAGTTTTAGAGAAAGGTCAGACAGTAATGAATTTGTCCCTGCAGAGCTCCTCCTCTCTCATGTCTCTCTGGGGGTTTTGGTACGAGGAGACGGTGAATCAGTCTTTAATGACATAATGTGAGGACGAGCTCTGAAAAGAGACGTGGAGGCAGAGCTGGAGGTCAAACTCATGCAGGGAAAACCGGTCTGATCTGCATCTAGTCTACATCTGAAAAGATAAACCCCGGTCCTTTACTGGAGGATTACAAAAGCTGGATCCTCTCTCTCTCTGTGTGTGAGTCATACAGTAAAAAAAGAGTCCAAACAAGACGCTGTACCACTCTGTCTGCGGTGAGGCGGTGCGTTCACTGAGGGAAATGAAGCGGGGAAAAATCAGCTCTTGAGCAACAAGTGTGAGTGAGAGTAAACTGGAGGAACATATGAGGAGCAGGAGGAGCTTTTCTCTGAGTGAACTACCGCTCCTTTAATCATTGACAGAGCGCTCAGACGCACACAAATCATCACTCTTACTCTGATCTTTAAAATCTCTGTCAAAATAAGAGCACACACTGTCGGCCTAATGCTGCAGATTTATTCAAATTAGAGGAAGAAATTGATGATTTTCTTTCTGTCGGTCGTGATTTTTAGAGGATGCCTTAGTCTTGTCTTTAAATGTTTGTTTTTATGACACATATCAACATGTATTTTCAGAGAAATATCCTAACTGAAGACAGTTTGATGAAATGTAAATATACATTTTCCTAAATCCACCCAGAAGGTATGGAGGACTAAAAGTGCCAAAATGAAATATATAAATATATAATTCATTAAATCATTAAATGTGTCATCAATTATTTAATATTGGAAATAAATCAACAAATATATAAATAAATATATAATTATTTAAATAATTAAATGCATATTATTAAATAATTAAATAATTATTTAAATGTGTCATTAATTATTTAAAATTGGTAATAAATGAATAAATAAATAATTTATGAAATACATTAATAATTAAATAAATGTTTAAATAATTATTTAAAATGTTCATTCATTCTTCTTGGAGTTATTTCCGCTCTCTCTGACCAAGATATTGACGAAGAGTGTTCGCAAACTTAGAAGAAGTTCTCCAGCGCTTCTCCGGTACGGGGCCGCAGCACACACCCGGAGCAGGGCGCCCGGCTTTTGACATCCCCACTGCCGTTCTACAGCATCATGTCCGGTGTGGGCGACCAGCTCATGTGGATCCTCTGTGATTGCTGCCATGTTTGTTTGTTTGTTTGTTTGGTGGGAAACCGCCTATTCTGGCAACCCTTCAGACCAAAGCAATGGTTTGTGACTCGATCAGCGTTAATCCCGCCCACTGAGTTTGATGGGAGAGGATGACAGATAAAATTATTTCATGATGCACTGCTGGAGCAGGAAACATGAAATAATTAAATAAATAGTGGAATAAATAGATGTGTTTTTACATAGAATGAATGAACATTTTAAATAATTATTTAAACATTTATTTAATTATTTATGTATTTCATAAATTATGTATATATTTATATATTACCAATTTTAAATAATTAATGACACATTTAAATAATACATGCATTTAATTAATTAAATAATTATATATTTATTTATATATGATTCATTTCCAATATTAAATAATTGATGACACATTTAATGATTTGATTAATTATATATTTATATTTTCATTTTGGCACTTTTAGTCCTCCATAAGAAGGTATCAAGTGACATCAGTGATCTTATGAGGCCGTGGTTTGAAAAGGAGAAATGAGTTGCTTCTTCAGCGCCCCCTTTTGTTCAGATCACGGAAAGACTTTTCATT